AAAAGAAATAAAAGGTATTCAAAATGGCAAAGAAGAACTCAAACTCTCTCTTTGCAAATGACATGATACTTTATGTGGAAAACCCAAAAGACTCCACCCCCAAATTACTAGAACTCATACAGCAATGCAGTAATGTGGCAGGATACAAAATCAATGCACAGAAATCAGTTGCTTTCTTCTACACTAAAACGCAACTGTTGAAAGAGAAATTAGAGAAATGATTCCATTTACAATAGCACCAAAAACCATAGGATACCTCGGAGTAAACCTACCCAAAGAGGGAAAGATCTATACCGTAGGAACTACAGAACACTCATGAAAGAAATTGAAGAAGATATAAAAAGAAGGAAAAATAATCCATGCTCATGGATTGGAAGAATAAACATTGTTAAAATGTCTATGCTACCCAGAGCAACCTATACCTTCAATGCCATCCCGATCAAAATTCCAATGATAAGGAAGACTTGATACAGGTTTCCTGATCTCCTCTGAATACATAAATTTATAGCTGAGTTTTTAAACACAAGGAGCATACTGAAGGGTGAAATATGGGAAACAGGTCGAGGAGATATCCTCTGAAAAGGAGAGTCTGCAGTGCTCAAGAAGGGAGGGTGGCTCCTTGCACATTCGATAAATGGGGAGGGAGAAAATGTGACCCTGTATCTCTGCAGAGGTCTGTGACATCAACAGGTACTCTGGGACCAACAGGAGGTGCTCACATCAACCAGGAAACTCAGGAATCATGGAGCTCATGACCCAGGACAAAAGGTTGGTTGAGGGCGGTCCCCGCTCAAGGGTTTTCAGCTGCATTCTCTGCAAACTGCTTCCTGACACGAACACTGTAAACAGTTTGGAAAAACTGTTGAAACACAGTTGTTTCTTCATTTCTTTGAATCAATAATCATGATGTTAATATTCAAATTTGTGATGCACCAGGTTATGGGAAAAACTTAACAAGTAGAATCATGGCAATAGCTGTGAGATTAGAAGTACAATGATCGCCATTTCACAGAAGAGGACATTTCCCTAAATAACAGCATCCATTCTGATCTCAGTTGTGGAGAGTTTCATTGTCTGCTAATGATTCCACCATTTTACTTTTATTGAGGCTTTCCATGGATATGTATAGAGACATCATGTGTAAATGCCCCTTGGGTTGCTGAAAATGTGCAGTGTCTCCATCAACTCTGTGACTCTATCTCTAGGATTCTCAGTGTCTCCAAGTTTTTTAGAAACTTGGTGGTCTCCACCCTTCCGTCAGTTTGGTAATCTGGAAATTCAGGAAGCCTGCAAACCTCACTACTTATGACCAACAGTGATCTGGAGGTATTTCAGGGGGGCACGCATGTCCCATGGTGGGGAGCACAGGGCCAAACATGGGTTCACGCTTACCTGATGGGTGCTCTTGGACGCTCAGAAAGCCCTTCTGTGCTTCAATGTACACCTATCCACCTATAAAATGGTGAGAAATGGGTACATATATCACATGTGATTTACAGAGAACATGACACATGGAGGATGTGCGTGGATATGAGTCAGAGAAACAGCGTATATGTGACAGTTTCCTGACCAGGATGTCTTGTGTTTGAAGATGTCCAGTGTGAGGTGCAGCTGGTAGAGTTGGGAGGAGACCTGGTGAAGCCTGGTGGGGGGGTCCCTGATATTCTCCTTTGCAGATTCTTGATTCACCTTCAGTAGCTACTACATGAGCTGGGCTCACTAGGCTCCAGTCATTGGGCTGCAGTGGGTCTCAGGTATTGATGATGGTGGAAGTAGCACAAGCTATTTAGACTCTGTGAAGGGCTGATCCACCATCTCCAGAGGCAATGGCAGGAACATGCTGTATCTGCAGATGAACAGCCTGAGAGCCAAGGGCAAGGCTGTATAAAACTGTGAACGTGACAGTGTGAGGGGACATCAGTGTGAGCTCAGACACAAACCACACTGTAGACCAGAATCTGAGCCAACAGCGGGTGCACACTATTCACTAATTCTGTCTTTAAAACCATAAGCAGATGAAGGTGGAGGAAAGGGGAAGGTGTCTTGTAAGGTTCTGGGGCTTCCTCTCCATAGAGCAG